AGACAGGGTCTTGCTGCAGGCTGGGCTTGAACTTGCAGTCTTCCCTCCTTGGCCTACCAGAGTACTGGGATTACAGGTGCCATTGCACCAACAAGACCATTTCTCTAGGGTAGGTGCTGGGCATGGGCTTGCTGGATTATGAAGAAAGTGTTGGTTTAATTATGTAAGATGCTGCCAAACTCTGTTCCTGCCAGCCTTGTCTGTGAGTCCCACATCCTCCCCATTCCCTGGCATCATCCAGTTTTCTTCCTTCTACTGTAACAGGTGTGCAGTAAATCTTGTTGTTTTCTCTCTCTCTTTTCTTTCTTTCTTTCTTTCTCTCTCTCTCTTTCTTTCTTTCTTTGGGGGTTTTGAGACAGGGTCTCACTATGCAGTCTAAGCTGGCCTTGGACTGTGTAGCTCAGGCTGACCTCAAACTTGTGGCAATCCTCCTGCCTCAGCCTCTGCACACCCTGTTTTAACTTGCATTGCCCTAACAGGTAAGGGTGTTGATCCCATTTCCACATGGATTTGCCCTCTTGTATCTTTCCTGATTTGTCTGTTCAAATACTCTGCCCACTTTTTCTTTTAAACATCACTATTAGCCAAATTGCATACTTTATTCAGATTTCACTAGTTTTCCCCTAAAATCCTTACTCAGGGACACCTGTCTCAGGTCCCCTGCTCTGAGACTTTCTCTCTTCAGAGAAGCACTTTGGGGTTTTGGCTGCTGTGTGTTGGGAACGGGTGCCTGTGTCACCCCTTGAATCTTCCGTAGGCTGCAGCTCTCGAGGGTGCGGCCACAGGTCCTCAACGTGTGTTTCCTGAAATGTCACCTAGCACTACTGCTGCTTTGGAATTATGTGCTGGGCCTGGAGCTAACATAGGGATATGGAGGCTGAGGTCACGGGTGGGACATGATCCGTGGCTGACCTTTGGCCCCGTCCACCCCACAGAGGGACAGCGGTGGGTTTAGCCTGGCCCTATAGATAGCGGCGCTGGCTAGCGGCATTAAGGAGATTACATCAGCACTGAGCATCTGGCCATGAGGTGTGTGGGGCTCACCGGGAACAGAGCAAACCCTGTGTCACCCCCAAAGCAGATGTTTGGAGGGAAAATAGATGCAATCAAAGCCACAGAGGATAAAATTACTCAGACCTTGTCAGCCGCACGCCTCATATGCATAGCCTGGGGACAGCTACACACACACACACACACACACACACACACACACACACACTCTCCCCTGTGTCTGCGGGGTAAGGCTTGCTCACACCCACACGTACACACCTGCACACACTGCACCCATGTGCCCGCCCTGGGCCACACCAGCGTGCAACCCACACACCTCTCTGCCAGCAGTGCGCATGCTTGGGGTGCGGGTGCGCACAGGAGACCGCAGGTAGGGTCCCAGCACCCTGCTCCAAAGAGCTCCAGAAGTCCCTCCTGTTTCCATCATAGCCAAGAAGAGAAAAGAAAAACATCAGTCACCTCTGAAAATCTCTCAGGTCACAAAAGGGCGGCTCTAGAGCACTGTGATGCCATTGGGGTGGCCAAGGACGAGTACATGGAGCTCAGGGGATGAAGGAAGCTTTCCCAGTTTTTTCATTTCTTGAGCTGAAACCCAGCCAGGCACTGGGATGGGGGCTCCCAGAAGGGGTGCGGGCTTGTCCCAGGGGTGCTGGGGCAGAGGTGGAGGGTGGGTGACCTTGGGCCATGGAGGTAATGGTGGCCTCACGGTGCTTGAGGGACCTTTGCTACTGCGAGGCCACCCTGAGCGTGGACCTGTCGCAGGCCAGGTGTCGCTGTTGCGTGGGCGCGGATATTTGACTCTCTGTGTAGATAGGCTGATTTCCAGGCCAGGACTGTGGGTGTGCAGCCAGCTCCACAGCTCCTCCGAGTCCACACGGAGCTGCCCCCGAGGCTGGGAGAAGGCGGCCCCGTGCCAGCACCGGTTCTCGTCATTTCTTCCCCTCACTGTGTCCCTCCGCCTCTCTCAGTCTTCCTCTGCCCGAGCTCTCTGTCAGTCATCTCCTGCCACATACGCCATCAGCCCTGAACGGTGACTCTCATTTGGCTGGCCCAGAACTTGCAGTTGTCCTGCCTCAGCCTTCCAGGGTGCTGGGAGTACAGGCAGGCACCACCACACGCAGCTTCATGCCTTTTTCTCGTCTCCTGTTCGCCTTGCTCTCATTGTATAGCAGGATGAAGTTGGACTTCCATTTGCTCAACAGATGTTCTCTGCATGTACGCTCTGGGGCAGGGACACCGGCAGTGCCCAAGGAGGGCCAGACAGGGCCCAGCTGTGTCCCTTAGAAATGGCTCATTTGTTCTTCTGCAACCTCTCACTGCACCTCTGCCACCTGCCCCACCCTGTGCTAAGCTCGGGGCTGGGAGGGACAACTGACCAGAAGCCCTGGCCCTTGGGAGCTGACATTCTGCAGGAGGAGCCGGACCTTCTCTGAGGGCTCGATTTGCAGGCAGCACCCAGAGAGGCCAGCAGGGGACGAGCTGTGACAGCTGGGAGGACTTCCTGGAGGAGCTGGCATGGATGGCATCGTGGGGGTCAGCTGGAGTGAGGGACATTTCAGGCAGGTGGCTGATGTGGGGACCGTGGAGGACCAAGGAGGCCAGCAGTTTCTGTTGGTCGGGGGTCTCAGCCAGCCCCTCCAGATCCTGCTCTGACAGCAATCTGCTGGCTCTGTGCAGGGCCCGGCACACCACCCGTCCCATCCCTGTCGCCCACCAGCCTTGGGCCCCTGAGAACAGCAGTGGGGATGGCAGCCGTGGAGCCAGGAGGTAGGAGGCTGCCACAGGGGAGGCAGACCCAGCGTCCACGGGGCCGTCCCGGGGAAGGGCCAGGAGCAGCAAGTCAGACCCGAGGGAGATGGACACGGGCTGGGTTTAAGGCGGGGACAGGGCGCCCCGCTCCTCTGCGCTGCACTGCAGCTCTAGGTGGAGAAGCTGCAGGTGGAGGGAGGTGAAATAGATGAACCGGCTCTGGATCTTAGGTTTGTGTCTGTAAGGACCATGGCTTGCTTTCATTCTGGGGCTAGAACTCGGGGGGAACTTTCCTGTAAATTAGGGACCCAACCTCAGAATTTAAAAGCAAGATAACTAATCATGGAGATTCAGATGGATTTCTTCCTTCCTTGAGGAGCCGGAAGCAGAATTCCTGCTGTCCCCAACTCGACACAGATGCCCCCTTACACCTCTCTCCTCTTGCATATGGGGGGTGGGGTGGGGCTGAGGTGGCGTCAAACACCCTGCTTGCTGCCCCCTCTGTGGACAGGCAGGTGGAGGTGAGACTCGCAGGTCATACGCACGATGTCCCGGGCGGATGGGTAGACTGGGACCCGGACCGGGCAGGTCTCTGGGGGTGGCTGGCAAGGGCAGAACTGGACCCTTACTGTTCACCGTGGAAGGTGGAAGCCTGGAGGCTCTGCTGCCTCCCCCTGTTAAGCAGAGAGCCTGCTCTTAGCTGAGGACTTCTCAGGGGGCCGACCCCACTCCATCCTCCTCAGGGACTGCTTCTCTGTGAAGGACGAGCAGAGGCATCGAGGGTCCTGACTTCCTTCTGCCCCTCCTGGAACAGGAGCCCATACACTGGGTATGGAGTAGACCCAGAAGCACAGGGCTGTGCTCTGTGGATAACCCGAGGGTGTTCTTGCTTCTCCTGGGCTCAGTTTCTTCCCAGCCCCCACTGCTGTGCAGGTTGGTCCCCAACTCTGGCAGAGGCAGATGAAGGATGAGGGCAGAGCAGGGCAAGCACAGGGACAGGGCTGCCTCCCAGGCCGGGCCTCTAGGAAGTTGCACAACAGCGATGTTTATTTTTGGTGAGCTGGGTGGGATTTCTTTCCCTTAAAAAGAGACCCAAAACATAAAACTTATTTGTCTGCCAGGAAGATAAATATCTTTGCTGAAAGCTCTTGGCCCGGCTGCCAGCTGCAGTTTGCATGATGCTGTCACCAAAGCTGTGGCTTGTGTGCCCAGGCTCAGGGTGTCACCTGTCATGCCCTGGGCCAGTCTCCTGTCCCTGTAGCGTCTGGATGCGAGTGGTTCTCAGGCACCTCCGCTCCCTCTCAGTGCCAGCAGGGTGTGGGGGGCTGACAGGGAAAACATGCCTCTCCGGTTCCCCCAATGCACACAGAAGCCAGAGATGAGGGGAATCTGCCCTTTAATACTAGCCCCTCGACCTGTTTCCAGAGGAAGGGACCAAGGGGCAGAGTGGTGAAGGCTCAGGCCTACTGCGCTGTGGTGTGATGATCCCGACAGCATCTTCCTTTTATAGAGGGGAAAACTGAGGCACGAAGAGGTTACCTAAACTGTCCAGAGCACAGACCCAGAGTCACAGGTGGGGTTCCTGCCCCGTGATGGGGTGTCCACCTGGGATGCTGCCAGGGCTGTTTGGACGTGGACAAGCTGCCCTCGTCCCCATCTTCCAAACTGGCCTCTGTCTCAGTGTCCCCACCCTGCAGGGGTGACTCAGTCCCTTCCAGCCCTGAGTGTCCAGGAACGGGCCATGGGAGCCCCACTGTGTTGACAGGCAGTGGCAGTCTGGGAGTAAGGGTCGTAGACAGGCTCTGTAAGCAGTGGGCCAGACACTACTGCAAAAGGAAAGGTGTCGCCTCCTGAGGAGAAAGAGCCCTCATTTGGGCAGTGGGAGAGACCAGGGAATGCCAAGGATACAGTGGAGGGCAGGGATGTGGCCCCAGCCCTGGAATCTTTAAGTTTGTTTGTTTGAGACAGGGTCTCATTGTGTGGTTTAGGCTGGCCTTGAACTCACTATGTAGCCCAGGCTGTCCTCGAACTCAGTGATCCTCCTGCCTCAGCCTCCCGAGTGGTGGGATTTCCCATTCTCCCCTCCTGTCTTTGGTTTTTTTTGGTACTGGGGATCGAACTCAGGTCCTTGCGCTTGCGCAGCAGGCGGCGAAACCACTGAGCTAAATCCCCGGCCCCCTTCCCCTCCTCTCTTGCTTGGTTCAGCCACTGCCTTCTGACCTTGTTTCCTCCTCCCTCAGCCAAAGAGAGCTCCCTGGGAGAGCCAGAGTTGCCCCCCGACTCCGACACCGTGGGCATGGACAGCAGCTACCTCAGTGTGAAGGAGGCTGGGGTGAAGGGGCCCCAGGACCGGGCCAGTGCTGACCTCCCCAGCCCGCTGGAGAAGGCCGACTCCGAGAGCAACAAGGGCAAGAAGCGGCGGAACCGTACCACCTTCACCAGCTACCAGCTGGAGGAGCTTGAGAAGGTCTTCCAGAAGACACACTACCCGGACGTGTACGCGCGGGAGCAGCTGGCCATGAGGACGGACCTCACCGAGGCCCGCGTGCAGGTCAGTGAGGCTGCAGGCAGTGGTAGGGGCCTCCCCATGGAGCCAGGGAGAGCCACTCCAGGGCTGTCTCTACCTGTGGGGCTGAGTATGGGGGTCCCGGCTGCCCCTCATGTCCCTGTCCACCCGGATGATCTGCTCTTACCCACTTCTTGGCGACTGCCATCTTGTGTGAGGGCAAAGTAGAGCAGGTCCATGGTGGACGGGAAGCCTGCTGGTTAAACCAGCACAACCCAGCTCCACTCAGCCCAGTACAATACAGCCAAGCTCAACACAACCCAGCTCAACCCAGCTCAGTCCAACATAACACAACCCAACTCAACACAACACAACAAAACTCACTTAATCCAACACAACACAACCTAAAATAACACAACACAATCAAACCAGGTCACTCTTTACCGCATTGTCCTGTTTTATCTTTATGGAATCTTTGACTGGCTTGTTATTTCATTTGCCTCTTCCCACTGGAAAGTGAGTTCCTAGTGGTCACCACTATATTCCCACCAACTGCAGAAGGCTGACTTCAGAGCAACAAGGGCAAAAATGAAATATCTGTAGACCAGTTGCCCTGCTCTGTTCACACAGGTATGTCCCCCTCCATAGGAAACCATAGCATAGAAAGAAAGCAAAGACCTCAAAGTAGGTCACATGCAGATGACCAAATTCATGCATTAAAGCTCACATTCAGTTAAACACAGACTAAGTATCACATTCAGGCTGCTTTTCTATCGTATACAGCATGCTAGAAATGCCAAATGTGCTGCTGTCGTCCAACAGCATCCCTTCCCTGGACCAGGAAATCAATAGCTGACACCAAAGATTTTTTTAAAAATCTGCACAGCATAGTACAGCCTAGAAGTGTGGGCCCCTCAGTGTCAGGACTTAGAGCCCTGTGGTTCCTGTCAGGCTCCAAGGGCATCATGCCCTTAGTTCACTGCAGACCCTTCATCGGGAGTTCTGAGGCATCAAGAACAGAGAGCCATCTGTAATTTAGTCCAGAAACTCTCTTGTGAGAAATGGCTAATTTGCAAAGGCCTGGGGTTAACAGTACCTATATAGCTGCCAGATCCTGCAGCCACCCGATAATGCTTCCAGGTCACTCAGCTGACCCGGAAGTGCATCTGAGGAAGGCAGGCAGCGCATCGGCTTTACACCAGATCCCTCTCGCCCTGCATGGGACCTTGCCTGCCGGAGTCTGGGCAGCAACCCATGTCCAGCCTCGGCCCCAGCCGATGAGTTTGGAGAGTGGGAGTGGGCAGAGAAAGGGCCAGGTGCTTCTGAGACATCCCTCAGTGCTGCACCAATAGCGGATAAGGGGCTCATCTTCCATTCGGTGTGTGTGCTGCACACCTGCATCCGAACATTCATTTTTTTGGTCACCTACTTTTGCCTACTTCCGAAGCAGAGTTGAGGCAGTTTATAATGAAAGATTTCTTATTTTAATGTAAGATCAAAGAGAGTGTCTTGAAGCAGGAAAGTAATTATGTTACATATCTAAGCCTCTTCAACCTTGAGCTTCCTGGCAGCCAAAGCAGAAAAGGAAACCCTGATATGTTGCATATCTTACCATCTAAGGGGAAGAAAATGGAATCACAGAGCAGTGTGGAGAGAGAGTATCACTTGATCTTCTCACTTGGTAGATGAAGAAGAAAGGCCCAGAGGTGGACAGAGATAGTTTGAAGTTATAGCGACTCAGCAGCAAGGCTGAGCCTGGAATTCAGGACTCCCGAGTTGGTCGGTGGTACGGTCTGACTACACAGCACCGCACCAGGACGCGTGCCAGACTATTGCGACGCTTTTTTTGGTACAAAGCAGCGGGGTGGGTGGGATCTCCATGTGCGTCAGACCTCTGGATGGAGAGGCGCCTGGCATTGCCCTGGGGGACGTGGGGTGTGATGGAACCCCCTGCCTGCCTCCGTGGAGTTTGTTTGGGGCCCTTACTCAGCTGGTGGCAAGCCAGGTGCCCAGGGTAGGGGTGGCAGGGACGGAGTGGGGGTCCCAAGATGGACTTTTCCTGGGAAGAAGCCTGGGGTTTGGCCCTGCTCCAGGGGGCTGCAGGGGCCTCTTGCTGCTGTCTGGGATTCCAGCCTCTGCAGCTGGTATCTGAAGGCAATGAGAAAAGGCCTCCCCGCCCCGGGCCGCCCCGCCCTGGCCCCAGATGGGCTGCGGTTAGGAGGCCTCTGCCAAGGCAGTTGGTTCCCTGCACAGCCTGGTCCTCAGGAGAGCCCTGTGCCTGAGTGGGCCAGGCCCGGGTGGGCTGGGGAGCGGGGTGGTCCCGGAACGCGAGCGACATCAGAGGGGCAGAGCGGCTCTCCTCGCGGGCTGCAGTGGAGACAGCAGGGCCCTGAGGCCCAGGGGCTCAGCTGCGGGGTCAGAGACGGAAGGAGTCTCGAGACCTATGGATGGGAGCCGAGGGGGACCCACCGGGGTGCCCCTGCCACCTCCATGTTTGGGGGGACGCCGCAGCCAGCCAGGGTGACTTAGCGTGTAGTGCTTTTCTTTTTCTGAGTACGATGTGAAGTACATAATGATCACATTCATCGTGGGGACTTGGTGCCTGCAGACAACACATCTTAGTTCTTTTTTCATCCCTATCCCCTGCACATTGCCGAGGTTCTGTTAGTGTGGATCTGAGCAGAAACTCCAGCCCCGTGGACGGGGTGAGGCTTTCAGGGTCAGAGGAATCACCACTACTCCCATCCTCAGGCCTCAAATCAGCCCCGAAGCCCAGCCCTTGCCATTCTGCCCCCATCCATCTCCCCAGATGAACTAGGCTCCCCAGTCCCCCTCCCAGCCCACGATCCGTTCCCCACCTGCGCCTCCCCTCAATTCTAGGCCCCTTGCCAGACACCAGACACCTCCTTTCCCCCGACCCCTGGGTTGCTCCCTGCTGAACTGGGTCCCCTGTTCCCCAGTGACCCCATGTTCCCACAACAAGGGGACCCAGAATCCACAGAGACGAGGGGACAAACAGAAACTCGCCTTGCCTCTGCCCCACCCCAAAGAAAAAAAGGAGCCCGCTATCTTGCTATCTTGATGTCTCCTGTGGGCTCTCCCCTCCCCCCAGAAAAAGCCCTGGGAGGCCGAGGCAGGAGCGGGAAGATTTAGCTCAGCCTGCAGGAAATTAAACATGAAATGGAAACAAGCTCCTAGGATTCATGCTCCCACCCCCATTCCAGGCCGCCGATAAAGGGGGATCTTGTTTCACAGCACAGAGGAGACCCCGTGTGCCCTTGGCTCCCAGTGGGCAGCCTGGCCTGGACCCCAGGAGCTCCGGGAGCCTGCAGGGCAGGGACCGAGACCCCCAGCCAGCTCTCCAGGGAGGTCACAGGAAGGGCGCTCCGTGTGTCGGGGGGTGTACATGCACATGCATGGGACACACATGCACACACGGGCACATGGGGTTAGGATGGGGAGAGGAGCTGGAGCAGCAGCGGAGAAACCCCAGCACGCCCCGACTTCCTCACAGTGACAGGACCCACACCCCAGCCCCTCTTTCTGACCTCTTTCCTCTGGCAAGAGACAGCCAGCCTCTCAGGCCAGAGCTATGAATAGAAGGATGCAGAGTCGTCTAAGAACTTCGGGATGAGCTCCCACCTGGCTGTCCTGCTGCTCACACGTGGCTCTGTCCCTATCCTGTGAAGAGGTGGCCCAGATTGGGGCCCATGGTACAGATGCAGAAACAGAGGCCCTGGCAGTGCCAGCACTCCCAGGGGCCCCCACAGGCTGGGCAGCATCCGTGGGGGGCGCATCCGCGCGGGCTCCTTCACCCTCCCTGGGGCTTGGGTGGGAGGGGACCAGAGGGGACGCCCAGACCTGCAGTGGATGGACAGGGAGGGGAGGTGCTGCCTGTGGCCCGTACCAGCCAGACCTGGAGGAGCCTCTTGAGACTGTTCCCTGGGAGCGGGGTGCTGTGCCCACTCCTGTCTGCGTCTCTGGCACACAGTGCCTGCGGGAGTGCCAGGGTCTGCCCAGGTCTCCACCAGAAGGAAGCCCGTCCGTGCTGGCAGGAAGCCACCCCTCTGCATCTTTCTCTCCCACCCGCTCTGCCCCATCACCTGAGCCTTGGGACAGTAGCGGGCCAGACACCGCCCCAGCCCCAGGGCACACCTGATTTAGAGCCTTCCCCTCCCTGGCCAGGTCCCAGGCGAGCCTTGTGCCTGGCAGTTGGAGCTGAATCCTCCAAAGCATCAGGCCTCACTGGTCCCAAGCTCACGTCTGAGCAGCCTTCCCCCAGCCGACCATTGAAGGCCCAGCTCCTGCCCTCTCTCCCGGGAAGCGAGCATTTCCTGACTGCTTCTGGTGCCCACAGAGCCCCGCTGTCCCTGGGGTGCCCCCCACTGTCACACGTGGGGTTCTGAGCTGGGCGACTGTTTCTGGATGGATGCCCTGGTAGGAATTCTGGGTTCAAGCCTGTAGGGAACAGGCGAAGGGGATGTTACTAGAACCTCTGCAGTGAGTCCTGGTCTCCTGCGAGCCACAGCAGCACACGGTGAATTACAGGAAAGGTAGAAAAATGAGACTGAGAAGAAGCTGAGCTTTGGGTCTGATCAGTGCTGCTTGGCAAAGACAAAGCCCCCAGCTTACTGCACCTTTTATTCAGTACTCAGTACCTCGGGAGAAACAAAGGTAACAAATGACTTGCAGAGAGTTCAGTACATCCGCGTAAACAAGACGGTAACAGTCCAAGAACAGTGAGGAACTAAGTAGATGTTTGTTCCTCCCAGGATGTTCTTAGCTCCCAGGATATTTCTTGTCCTGGAGAATCACAAAGAGCATCACTGGATCATTGAGGTCTCACTTGTGACCGGAGGCCAAAATGGAATTACGTCTCTGAATTCCATAGCTGGGCTGTAGGCAGGAGAACTAGGCTAACCAAATGATTTTCCCCTAAAATTATGTGGCATTGCTCCCGACATGGGCCTGCAGATGGGGTCTAGGGAGCCACGAGCCTTTGGGGCAGAGCCATGGAGAAGCTAACTGCGTGTGGCGGTCACAGTGGGGCAAACCTGTGGCACGTGTGCCGCTGCAGGCTGTTGGGATCATCGCTGGTCCAGGACAAGGACTTTCCGGAGGGGACTGCATGGCTTTTATCAGATTGGGCTGGAGAGCTGTGACCCACAGCAGAATGGGGTGCCCCTGTGTTGGGGTTGGTTAGATGACTGCTAGGGGGTGACTTGTGACTTGTTTCCTACATGTGTGACATTTGCCACTCTAGATTCTGAAGCTTAAGCAAATGAAGTTACTGGTCCAAGATCACACCTGTGGCTATGGCTTTTTTGTTTGTTTTTTGAGACAGGGTCTTACTATGTAGTCCAGGTTGGCCTCAACCTCACAGTGATTCTCCTGCCTCAGCCTCCCGCTACTGGGATTTACTTTATGTTTTTTTGCTACAGCTCTGATGATTCAAGATTTACATCTCAAAGGACAAAGACCCAGCCTGATGCTAATCGGTGGCCCCAGGGCCCCAATCCATGCAGTGGGACCAGTTGGGGCTCAGAGAACACTGTACCCCCTGACTCCTGTGATATCCGCTTTGTCCTGCAGGTCTGGTTCCAGAACCGCAGGGCCAAGTGGAGAAAGAGGGAACGCTTCGGGCAGATGCAGCAGGTTCGGACTCACTTCTCCACTGCCTATGAGCTGCCACTGCTCACCCGGGCTGAGAACTATGCCCAGGTAAGGCCACGCCCTGGCTCTTCCCAGCCCTGGGTCTGGCTCACTGCCTCAGTGTCCTTGCCTGTGAACTGGACATGTTAGGGGTGTTTGTCCCAAGGCTGTGACCGAGTCTACAGTCTTTGTGAATTGCTCCCCAAAAGGCAGTTTTGCCGGCTCAGCCACAGGCTCTGTCTCCTGTGCCCCTCCCTGCCCACACCGGGGTGGCGAATGGCCTGGGGGTGAGGGCCAGGCTGCGGGGGAGGCGGAGGAATGTGGAGTGTCTCCTTCGAGCACAGGCTGCACCAGCTCCGGCTCCTTTCTCTCATTCTCTGCCTCCTGCCCCAAACTCAGCCTTCCTGAGACCCCAGCCCTGGCTCGTTGGCCTTGGTGGCTTCTCTCTGAGCTTGAGGCTGGAGAGACAAAACCAACTCAAGGTGCTGTTCCTCTCTCTCTCCTACAGCCCAGCCCGGCAAGCCCCAGGCTGCTGGCGCTTCCAAGAGGACTTGGTGAGGGATTTGGGGGCAGGGTGTGGTGTGGCAGTCTGTAGCCACTGGATGCCCCAAGAATGCTCTGTGGGACTTGGGGGCCCAGCTCCCTTCCATTCTACTTTTTACTTTATTGATGATTGATTGTTTGCAGTACTGGGGTTTGAACCTGGGGCCTTCTTCTCACTGAGCTATATCCTCAGCCCTTTTTATTTTTTTATTTTGAGTCAGGGTCTTGCTGTGTCACTAAGTTGCCCAGGAGGGTGTTGAACTTGCGATCTGATCTTCCTGCCTCAGCCTTCCAGAGCGCTAGGATTACAAGCGTGCACTTCCGTGCCAGCCCCATTCTGCTTTTAAATATCTCCCTAGCCCTCCAGACACTAGAGGGAGGGCAGGCCCTCAAAAGCCTGCTTGAGGCCCCCGAGAATCCTAAGCATGAGAGGTGCATGGTGTCCTCGAAGCTGGTCCTCTGTACCCCATCTGCCTCCTGGTAGTTCTTAGGGAGCAGAGGAAGGCAGAAGCAGAGTGGGGAGCTGGGAGAGGGAGGAAATGCAGGAGCACTGATGGAAGGTGGGTGTCCCAGGCAGCCCCAGCCTCTGTGGCATGAGGCTGTCCAGCCCTGCTCTGCCTGCCCATCCTGAGGCTGTGCTCCCAGCGACACATGGAGACTCAGCCCTGTCTGGAACCAGGAGGCCCCCAGGCCAGCCCTTCCCTGGACCGTCTGTGTGGCTCAAAGTCGTCCTTACTCCTGCAGCCAGCCCTAAACCCACCCCGGGGTCTCTGGGTGTCCATGAGCAGGCAGAGGTCACCCGAGGGAGGGGCCCTGGCTCGCCACCCTCCAGCCACCATGACCTCTCTCCCCCCACTCCCCCCAGATTCAGAACCCAACCTGGATCGGCAACAACGGGGCCGCCTCACCGGTGCCTGCCTGCGTGGTCCCCTGTGACCCGGTGCCCGCCTGCATGTCCCCCCACGCGCACCCCCCTGGCTCGGGGGCCAGCAGTGTCACCGACTTCCTGAGTGTGCCCGGGGCCGGCGGGCACGTGGGGCAGACGCACGTGGGCAGCCTGTTCGGAGCAGCGGGCCTGAGCCCCGGCCTCAATGGCTACGAGCTGAACGGGGAGCCAGACCGCAAGACCTCGAGCATCGCGGCGCTGCGCATGAAGGCCAAGGAGCACAGCGCCGCCATCTCCTGGGCCACATGACAGGGCCCCACCCGCCCGTCCCTGTGCCCTCCACGCCCTCGCTCCCCAGGACCCCAGCCTCCCACTTGACTTTCCTCTTAGGAAACTGGCCTGGCCCAGGGGCCTGACCCTCAGCACTTTCAGCCATCTCAAGTCTGAAGCCCCGGGACTGCAGGAGGGAGGGGCACAGAGGCAGCGACCTGTGCTCCTGGGCACTGGCAGTAGGGACAGCAAGATGCCCAGTCCTGCAGCTCTGTGTCCGCCATGAACTGAAGGCCCTTTGTCCCCTCCTGGTCCTCCGCCCACCCGCTTTGACCTTGAGTCGAAGTTAACTTCCCCTCCAGAGCCAGCAGCGGTGACCGCCCACTCCTGTCCAGCTGTCTCTTATTGGTGGGGTCCCCTGGTCCCTCGGCTGTGGCTGTGTGCCTGAGGAGCAGGCTGCCCTGCAGACCCAGCTCCTGTTCCCGCTTCCTGAGAGCACAAGAGTCCTGCCTCCTGGACCCCAGGCACCAAACTGGGCCCCACTGACCGCAGCGTGGACCCCCCTGTGCTGGACACACCCAGCGGCACAGGGAGGCTGGGGGCCGCCCTGGAAGGTGGCCAGACCCTGGTGTCCTGAGACTGGTTCTGGTGGACACTGCAAGGAGGAGCCTGGACCCCCAGGGCCACCACATGCTGGAGGAAGAGGAGCTCCAGGAGAGAGGAAGGCCGTGGGGAGGTGGCACCGCCACACCAGGAGGTCTGGGTGGCTCTGTCCTCCATCTGCTTGGTGCTTCAGTCTCCCGGGGTCCTGCAGGAGGACCTGGGGCACCTGTACCTTCCTGGTCTCCCCACCTCGTGGGGTGAAAGGACTTATAACTCGGAATACATAAGCTAGGGCTGGGGCCTCGGAGGCAGGGGTCAAGAGCGGTGTCCCCAGGCTCTGTCGGGATGCGGGGCCCTGCTCGGGCGCAAGGCAAGATGGCCCTTCCATCCTCAGACTGGCCACCCATCTGCCACCTCGGCACAGCATCATGCCTAGTGGGTGGGGACTCTGTTCCTCCAGGCCTGGGGGACAGTGCTGTGCTCCGTGTGACCTGCCACATGCTCTCAGAGAGCCACCCCCTGCTGCTTCCCCAGGGCACAGTTCTGTGCCCCTCTCTGCCTCCTGGCCTGCAGACATGGGGTCCCTGGTGCCTGCCCTTGACCCCAGCCTTCCCTAGCAACAGTCAGACCCTCTTGTGGACCCTAGCTCTTGAATTGATCTTAGATAGGAGAAAAGGATCTTAGACAGTGAATTAAATGTCCCCAAAGGCTTGGCTTTCAGATGTTTGAGGATTTTGGAATGACTTGTCAGGAATCCTCTGGTTTTGAGGTCCACTGAGGTAACCCATTCTCCCCAGTCTGGCAAGGGACAGGAAGGGCAGGGAAAGTGGGGGCCAGCCTGGTTCCTTGAAGACCCTCATGGCGAGGAAGGACTTGGGAGGGAGTTGCTCACCCAGGGAGAGTCAGTACAAAGCCAGAAAAGTAGGGAGGAGGGCTTTGGGTGGAATCTTCTGGAAGGGACCCCTTTAGAGACACTTCATTCCTCCGTGCGTCTGCTTTCAGGCCAGACCCCAGTCAGGCAAATGTCAGCCCTAAATTTTGAAAAGAAAGTTTGAGTGGCCACGGCTGCCTCTTCCCCAGTGAAGCCGTGACAGGTTCCTGACTGTGCATGCTGGTGTCTGATGTCCCCCTTCCTCTCCCCAGAGGCAGCTTCTCACCCCTGGCCTGTCCTACCCTCCAGGACCAGAGAGTCACTGGGTTGGAAGGGATCTCAGCCACCCCTTGCTCGCCAGTCCTGTCAGAGAGAGTGACCCAGGGTGCTGAGACAGGAGCAGGGCCATGCCGCCTAGGTGCAGGGGCCGGGCTCAGCTGGCCTTCCGGGTGGGCAGTGCCGGCTCCTCCCAGCAGGCATGGCTGCAGCAGCCTCACAGGTGGCCACCTGGCTTCCTCAGGGCCCGAGGCCCATGGAGGTGGTGAGGAGACTGGCTGTGGCGTGGCTCCCAGCTCAGCCAGTGTGTGACAGGGCTGAGGGTTCCCTTTGCTGTTTGCCTGACATTCCCACAGAAGTGGCCACTTGACCGTGAAGTGGTTCTAGTTGGCCACAGACTGGGCAGTGTCCCCAGGCCTGGGAGCCTAGAGTCCCCGCAGGGCCACGTGCCCAGGCTCCAGAAGCCCCCTCCATCCAGGCCCGGGGGTGAGGGCCCTGAGACCTTCCCTGAGTCCTTGTAGCCATACTTGATGCCCACCCGGTGGGCGGGTTGAAGTCACTTCAATGGGCAGGGCATAGCACACGTGAGGCCCCCCAGCACACACTGCTGTGGCCATGCTGCACCCATCTCCTGTCTTTTCCGCTGGGGAGACCGATGGCGTTCCCATGACCATATCAGTCGGCCTTCGTGCGTGGTCTCTCACTCTCTGGGCTGCATGTGGGGACACCGAAGGACAGCTGAGGCTACTGGTGTGCTAGATGGCCCTGCCTGTCGGGGCAAAGGCGGACAGTTGGCCAACTGGCCCCCGGGATAATCCATGATCACACAATTGACGTGAGACAGCGACAGACTCCACTTTCCAAAGTCACACCAACCCCACTTCACTTCTTTCAGGATGCGTCAGGGAGGGAAGGTGTTCCCGGTGGATGGTGCCAGTGGCATCAAAAGAAACACTTCCCACTCTTCCCCTCCGTCGCCCTTCCCCGTCGCATAGAGCTAGGCCTTTATACTACTGATTTTGAGGACAGTTTCAGTGTCGAGTTATCTGTTCGGGTGTGCAGTGTTAAGACAGCCGAGTGCGCGAAGGAACGTGGACCTCAGCCAATGTTTGCTGTCTCATTGTAAGATATTTTAACCCTGTATAAATGCAACTTTTCCTTTAGCTTAATGGGCTGGGGTGGAATATTAAGAATACCTATTAAAAGTACATGAAAATGCCAGAAAAAAAATGTTAAAAAAATTGAGGTGAGTTCCATAAAGTTTTACTGCCTATACCACCATGTAAGTACATTATAGCAAAATATTAAAAGAAATGTTCTTGCCTTTTAAAGTAAGTTATTGCACTTACATCTTTCTGGGGAGGGGAGGTGTGCAAGCGAGGAAGGACTCGGGGTCGTGGTGCGGGACAGAGCAGGGGCTGCTGGATGCGCCCCAGCGCCCGCCACAGCCCAGACTGTTTGGCCGTTGTTGTTTGCAATAAAGTCCTCCTTCCTCCTCTCAACTGGAATCTGTCTGTTTTGTTCCTGACTTATGACAGATGAAAGGGGATCACAGGGGCCTCTGAAATCTCGCGTTAATTGAAGTCGGCAAAAAATACTAACAGTGCCCTTTTGAACTGCTGACACAGTGCAGCATGGATTACAGGCTAGATTAACAACAGGTGGCAGCTGACACTCCTGCACAGAGGGGAGCACGGCAGGGGAGTCTGGGCTGGGGCCCCTATCCCTGCACAGAGAGGAGCTGGGGGAGCCCAGCCAGCCTCCAGGGCCCGGGCAGGGTCGCAGTGGCAGCTTTGTGCCTGGCCCCATGGAGGGTGTGCCAGGCACACACCCAGTTCTCAATGTCCTCAGCGTCACCAAGGGCTGTTCTGTCTCCAGGGCCTGTTCTGGAAGTGGGAGACTGGGAAGGGTGTGGAGGTCCTGCTGCTTCCAGGAGAGGCAAGGCCCAGTCTTGCTGGCTCTGGGCCTCAGTGGTGGAGGGAGCTTTGCTTGCAGGAGGTATGAACAGGCACCTTTTTTCTTTTTGGTCCTGGGAATCAAACACAGGACCTCACATTTTCCAGGCAGGCGCAGTGCCACTGAGCTAAATCCCCGGCCCTGAACAGGCACTTTTTAATGCCAGGCCCTTCTGGGCATAGTGGTGTACTTGGGAGGCTGAGGCAGGAGGATCACTGAGTTGGAGGCCAGCCTGGGATATATGGTGAATTCAAGGCCAGCCTGGTCTACATAGCAAGACCCTGTCTCCATAAATCAAAAATAAATTTTAAAAGAAAAGCCAGGCCCTAAAAAGAAATGGTGCAGCAAGAAGAGACCCAGTTTCTACATAAAGGTGACTCAGAAAAAGGCCTTCGGTGCCATGGGACCCTCTTCTGTCACCAGAGCAGGAAGAGCCCTGTCCCTGCCACGTGCTCCAGTTAGGCAAGGATTAAATGGAAGAGACACGTGCATGACATAAAGGACAGGGACTGATCCCAACAGCAAGCCTGATAGGAAACACCTTTCACCTCACTTCCAACTCTCTATATAGCAGAAACACTCCCTGGTGTGCGTCTCAGATGCGGTACCTGTAGGGAATTAATTCACATTCAGTGTAAACCTAACTTGCTTTAAAAAGTGACAGCTGATAACAAATGCTGGCAGGGGTGTGGGAAGAAAGGAAGCCTTCTCCATTGTTGGTGGGAGTGCAGACTGGTGCAACCACTGTGGAAGTCAGTATGGAGATACCTCAAAGAACTAGGACTAGAGGTCCCATTTGACCCAGCTATTCCACTGCTGGGAATCTTCCCCAAAGAATTAAAATAATCATACCACAGAGATATATGTGCACCTATGTTTATAGCGGCACAGTTTGTAATAGCTAAAGCTTGGAAACAGCCCAAGTGCCCATCAACTGGAAACTGGATAAAGAAGATGTGGGTTTTTTAATAAAATGGAGTACTACTCAGCCATAAAGAATGAGAAACTAGAGTCATTTATAGCTAAATGGATGCATATTGAGGCCATACTCTTAAGTGAAATAAATAGGACACATGTGTAAATGCCGAATAGTTTCTCTAGTGTGAGAAATTGAAAGTATAAATAAGGATGAAAATGATTAAAATGAATAATTGATAATTTGAAATAAGAAAAGGTCCAAGGGTTTGGGGATGGTGGAAGGGAAAGGGGAAAGGGAAGAAGGGAAAGAAAAAATTATGAGAGAAAAAAAAATGGAATCAAACTCTGTGTAAATAGGGAAGGGTGGAGGGGGTGAAGGGTGCACAGGTAATGGGAGAAAAAAAAAAAAAGATACATCATGTTCTGGTACAAACACCCAATGATAAATGTAAATGTATTTTATACCTAAAATGTACCAATAAATATATATATTTAAAAAAAAAAGTGACAGCTGTAGCAGGGTGTAGTGTCACAGGCTTGTATCCCAGCACTTTGGGAGGCCAAGGCAGGAAGATGGAAAGTTCAAGCCCAGCCCGGGCAACTTAGCAACTTAGCAAAACCCTGTTTCAAAATAAAAAGGCTGGGGCCAGGGCCGGGGCCAGGGATTTAGCTCAGTGGTTCCATTGCCTGCCTTGAAAGCACAAGGTCCCGAGTTCGATCCCCAGTACCAAAAAAAACAAAAACAAAATAAAAAGGCTGGACATGTAGATCACTGTAAAAGCCCTGGGTTCAATTCCCTGTACTGGGGGAAAAAGAGGCAGCTGTCACATATTAGAACTCTGGGTCATGGTGGCACTTGGACTGTCACACCAAGTCACTGCCAAGGTACAGGATAGGAACTGGAACAAAGACGAGTAAGGCCCAGGTTCCTGCCTTTCCTTGGGAGCTGGGACTCCAGATGAGTCCTACTACTCAAGGGACCGGCCCGACCGGGGGTGACTGGACTCGGAGCCAATCCTAGTACATGTGTCTGCCAGTGCAGTCGCCCCTCCATATCCATGGAGACAGGGGCCAGGACCCAGTGGACACCTAACTGCACGTGTGCTCAAGCCCCTCAGATAAACAGTGTCGGATTCACTCCGAAAGCACCAATAAGGAACAGGAAATGGAAAAGGAGTCTTACACACTCAGTGGAGGTGCGTTTTCCCCTCTGAATATCCTCAGTTCTCGGTTCGTTGAATCTGGGGATGCAGAACCTGAGGACACTGGAGGCCGGCCAGCTAGGGAGGACGAGGCGCCAGGGCTTCCTGTGCCTGTCAGCTCTGGGTCAGTCCTGTGCTGTCGGCCGCCCAGCATGGCTCATGGTGCCCGAGCCATCTGAGGCTTCCGCTTGTGCACCATGGGCCCTGCTGCCTTTTCCCCTCTCACCACCTCTGTCTCCTGCCCAGAGATCCTCCACTGGCTCATCCTGTAGGCTTCTAAATGGTGTCGCCCCGTCAAGCCCTTTCCTGACTCTACACTCACCCGACTCCCACCAGCACATGACATGTGACAGTGGATGTGACCTGTAGACCCACCCAAACTTCCCGTGTGCCCAAGGCTCCACCAGGAGACCCCAAGCTGTGACCTCTGCCTGATCTTGGCCCCTGCCCACTGTGTCCCTCCAGGGTTCATGTGCATCTGTGATGAGCTGTGGCCAGGCCAGGAAGCCTGGATGCTTTAGTGTCCTTGATGTTGGGCCAGCCCAAGGTCAGCTCCCAAGACAGCCCAAGAGGCCCTGTGTCCAACACTGCCCACCCCGGAGCTTCTGCACTTTATTCCTCTGTCTCCCAGTCACTGCAGACCACCCTTGTGCCCCTGCACCCTCTACTCTCAACCCTCGCCTGGGGGGTGTCAGTGTGCAGCAGCTTCCTTCCTGACCTGGTGCCAACCCCAGCAAAACCCGCCGCCATCCTCTGCTCATCGCCAATCCCAGCCTCCCAGGTCTCGTCTGGAGAACCTGCCAACCTCTGTCGCCTGTGTGACAGTGGAACCCTCAAGTGGCTGGCAGGGAGTGGTGGGTGTTGGTGCCTCTGCTCGCACAGGTCCAGACTGCATGCTCAGCAGCCACGGAACAATAGGCCCCCCACAGAGAGCCAGCTCCCCCAAACAGGGCTGACTGCAAACGGGCCTCTGCTCACAGTTAGAAGATGCGAGCTAGCACCCGAGGACAATGGGTGTAAGAGCTGAAATGTTCCCAGGAATTCTGAGTGATTCCAAACAGATTTTTTTTCTTTAGCTCAACACAGACCAACAGCCTTGAGGAAGGGCAGGCTTCCACAGGGAGCTTCGGGCTATGCGCATGTGCACACCATGTGTTAAGGTGTTGGGGCCACGTCCACACGGGGCTGCCCAGACCTCCCACGCTCCAGCCAGGACAGGGTCCTCAGACACACGGTGCGCTGTCCTTGCCACGTCTGCTGCAGTGCTGCTTTCCGTTGCATCACAACCCCCACCCACTCTGTCCCCTACCCACCAGGTACTGCTGTAATTTCTGGCTCACTGACAGAACCAGGGGAAGGGGTAAGAGCTGACATAAAGGCCAGGAAGCCACATGGTGACTCCGCAGAGAGGGGACCTGGGTTTAGGAACCCACTTTGCAACTTCTAGCTGCCAACAGGCCACTAAAATGCTTCCATTCCAGTTTCCTCGTCATCTGTGAAATGGAGATAACAGTTTGCTAATCTCACAGACAGTTGTGAGGCCCAAGAGTGAAAACAGCTGAATGCAGGAGGAGTTGCGGGGAGGGCTGGAGGGGTTGACTTCTATCCATCCAGGTGGCTGAGGGCAGGGTGTTTCACAAAGTGTCACGGAGCTGAAGCAACCGAACCCTGCTCCCCAGGGTTCCCAGGTCTTTGGCCTCAAGCTGTCTTGCTATTGGCCTCTTTGGTTCTGTGGTTTGGGGCTTGGACTGAGTCACACTACGGCGTCTCAGGGTCTCCAGCTTGCAGCTGGCCTGGGATGGGACTCGTCAGCCTCCTCAGTCTCACGAGCCAGTTCTCCTAGAGCATCTCTCACAGATCTCCCGCTCTCCTGCTGCTTCTGTCTGTCTGGAGAACCCTGGCTACTACAGCCCTGAGCCTACCCAGCCTCATCGGACTCGGCGACCCTGCTCATCTCCCACACCCATCATACTCTCCCAACTTGTTTCCAAAGCCCAGGGCCAATCTCCCCTCCTTCACGGAGCCAGGTGGGTGCCGGTTCTCCTTCCAGGGCAGCAAACGTGCTCCAGTCACCCTGTGCCGCGCACAGCCGCACCCTGCAGACAGGGCTACAAGTGATTCCTTCTCCAGCACTTCCCAGTGCCACGCTGACTGTTCTTCACCTCTCCCACAACAAGTGTTTCATAACCATCAGCTGGAAGCCTGAATTGCACATTGGGAACACAGCAGAAAACCATGGGCTGGGACGATGGAACTGGAGGCACCAGAGACCTGGGAGCCCAAAGCAGGCATCCAGGTAAGGAGAGAAGGGACAGTGGTCCACAGGAACTGTAGAAGGTGACAACTTTTAGTCAGTTTTCTTCCTTTTGATCAACTTTAGTGAGGTGTACTTTACTGGTGC